GTTGCTCGGTGTTTTCTTTCTTAAGCTTGAAAATTGCCTCTTAAAAACAAAACGGCTGGTGCGATTGAGGAAAACTGAGAGGTTGTTGCGGGTGGGGGGAGCTGGATCCCACCAAACTCCTCTGCCCCAGTGCTGCACTGGCCAAGTGGTTGGATGCAGGGGGCTGCTTTGCGCTGATTTCCTTTTACCCAATTATGCTTTGTGGGATGTTCAACCCAAGGAACATGGCTGAACGAAAGAGGAAGCCTAAGTTTTCCAAGGAAGAACTGGACATTTTGGTCACTGAGGTGACCCGAAATGAAGCCATGCTGTTTGGGAGGGAGACAATGCGTCTATCCCATGCCGACAGGGACAAGATCTGGGAAGGCATAGCCAGGCAGATCACATCAGTCAGCCAGGTCCCCAGATCTGTAAAAGACATTAAACACAGATGGGACGACATGAAGAGAAGGACCAAGGACAAACTGGCATTCATGCAGAGGTCCCTCTCCAGCCCCGTCAGCATGGGGCGGCCCTCGGCCATCGTCCTGACCGCCCATGAGAGAGCCATCGAGTCGACACTGCATTCATCCCACCAGATGCACGACTTCCAGAGAGCGGATCTGGACGTGGTTGACAGCCCGTCAACAAGCTGTAAGTATCATTGCCTTAACACCTCTTTGTCTTATGCTTGGATACCTCAGTTTGACACCATAAGAAGCGTTGTGTGTTGTGGGAGATGCTGGGTTGCCTGTCAAAACAGGTCCTACTGCTGTGGTTGGTTTCAAGACAGCCTGCTCTGGTGGTTGTGAGGTGTTGAAATGTGTTGTTTCCAAGTTAAGATCATCTTCTTTATCTGTTTATCTAGTTCTTTTCCATACTATCTTCTAAGGGTAGAGGATGGATTATGAGTCTGACCTAATCCTACAAGTGAGGGAGTTGAAGTGCAACTTCCTCCAGTCTGTGGAAAAAATGCTTGTAAAAGATTAGGCGATCTTCACCATGATAAAACAGCAGTGCTATCAAGGTGAGGATCATCTGCCGGTCACTAATGAATCACTTCCAAGAGGGCTGTTGGGGGTCTCAGTGATCACTGGTGTTCATTGCTCTGAGGCTGGACCACTTATGATTTCTCCGTAGTGGTCTGAAGGATCAGCATAAATGCTGTGAAAAAGGTAGATGATAACGGCTGCTTCTACACTGGTGTTAAAAGAACTGCTGGCCCTGCTTTTGAAGTTATCTTCTTCCACCACAATTCTCAGACACCTTCCAGAGCTAAACCACAAGCTACTTTTGTAGGTTCTTTCCATAGCTGTGTACACACAGGTTTTCTTCATGGAGGTGCAGCTTCTCGTTCTGTGAGCTTTTAGGCATACAAAGGAGAGAAAGGGGATAACTTCTTGGAAAGTGAGTCAACTAACACCTCTTGAGTGGCACTGTCCTACCACATTAGATCTGATTTGTAGTAGTGTTATTAGTGGGAAAGCAGGGACAAAAATCTTCAAGAACTTACAAAGTGGGAATTGGTCATTCTTTGCATCTGTCTTGGAAGCCAGTGGCACTATTTTAGAGGTAAAAGGAAAACAGCCTGTGCAAGGAGAGAGTGGGCAGTTGCAACAAATGAAGTCTTGTCTCTTCTTACTTTTGATATGCCTGTACCTGTATACTGGCGCATCACTATATATTTATCGCCCTAATGAGAACTTTCCCCTGGTGTTTTGCTTTGGTTTTGATTTTGCATCAAGTATACTTGCCTGATTAACATAGGGTCCTGTTGCTGCTATGCCTGACTGCCTGATTGTCTTAGTGATATCAAGCTACCCAGTGGCTTTGCAGTACTCACTTTGCGAGCAGCAAATACTACACCTATGCTTTTCTCAGTGCAGGGATTGTAAGAAATGACACGGGATCAGAATTTTTGCATGAGGGGTCTGTGTCCCTCCAAAATATTGGAGTGTGCTAGCTACTTATTGTTTTGGGGAAAGGGAGTCATTGCTACTGTCTGAAATGGATTTGTATTCTAGTAATGAATGATGCGTGTACAGAATACCATAATAGCTTGGGTTTGTCCACTCTTCAAGCTTCTTATGGCTAAGCTTGTCACCTGGATACTAACGTTGCAGCACTTGCATGTTGAGCTACAGGCTTGTCTGAAATGGCAGACTGAGGGGAGGGGAAAACCCTTTTTTACATGTTCTTTGAAATAACCTGAAACAGAAGCCAGAGTTGTGAGGGATTTCACACTAATAATTCATCATTCGTCTTCTATTTAAGCTGGTGACGATGAAGAGACTCCAGGCACTTCTCAGGAACACCACTTCGCTCCGTTGCAGAGGGCTGGTGCAGGAGTCAGTCGTCTTTCCGGGCCCTCCTTCCTCCGCACTTCTTCCTCATCAGAGCACTTGGAAGCTTGCAGCCAAAGGCAGGAACTTCACTGTCCATCCCCACGCACCACCTCGTCCTGCAGACCCGCGCATCCTCGCACAAGGAGCCCACCCCTCTCCAGCTTCGATCGCCAGCTTCTCCATTCCCTTGCTCAGCAAACAGACATGTTTGGGCAGTTCTGTCAGGAGCTGGTGGCCATTCATAGGGACATGGCAGACAGCATGCATGCTGTCAGTCAGAGGATGGCTGACCTCACCAGCCAGGTTGGCCAGATGTGCCAGACACTAACAGAAATACGTAATGGGGTCCAGGCTTTCCATAGGAGACAAGATGCTAGTGTCATGCAGGGGTCTTGTCAGCAAGAAGCTTGCCCTAAACAGCCCGCAGAGGCTAGTGCAGAGTCTAACCAAAACCCTCTACAACAGACGACGCCTGCACGGACTACCAGGTCACGAAAAAGAAAACATTTTTAATCTCTGTCATATAAAGTAAAGAAGGGTACCCCTTCCTGAGCTGCTGCATGCTCACATGGCTTCTCTATGTGTATCAGTATTCTGTGGGGAAGGTAAACAGCTGACCCAACCCATCCACCCCCCTGCTAGCTAACAGAGTTATATGAATTATGGCAGCTAAATAATAGGACTGTGCCTCTGCAATGGCAAAGAGGAATCTCAAATATTATAGAGCTTGGAATGTAGGACGTCTTTCTATTCATAGAGACTAGGAGTTTTCACTGACTCCCCCATGCTTTAAATGCTCTATAAACTAAGAGGTGCAATAGGAATCTGGATCTCTTTCCATACCTGTGAAATGTTATTTATACAGACAACATGCTACAGAGCTCCCTTTGCAATTGACTAACAAATTTACCCTACTATTGCTTTCCCATCTTTTTCCCGAAAATTAGTATAGGCAATATGTGTAGAAATACAGCCTTATGCTTCTGAAGACTCTTATTGCTCATTCTTTTATTGTGCATTCAGCAATAGTGAGAAATCAAGGGCTTACTATGACTTACACACAGTTTTGGGGAGAGGGGTGTAAAAGAGCTTTTGCAGAGCAAGGAAGAAATCATGATGTTGAGGACAGGTCTGAGTACAGAGGTTTTAGACTTCTGAGAAAGGGCTGTGATGACACGGGCCTGGATCCTGCAGTGCCAAATGCATGTATATTAAAGAATTTAAATTTTGTTTGCTCTGGTCTGAAACCCCTATCTACCCTTCACAGTTGCAGTTAAAATATAATCATTTCATAATATGGCAACATTTAAAGAGAATTGTATCTTATTATTTTCTTGCATGTTGTAGTCTTCAGTTTTGAACCACCTCACCTCTTCAGAACATGAAAGACTGCACAGAAACAACAAAAGATATAGGGCCTGCTTCTGACCTTAAGAGCAGTTTGGTTTTGTTTCACTGTAATTCTGTCAGCTTCAGTACAGTTACTTTGCACTTAGTGTTATTTAGGGTGGGATCTGTACTGTATTCTCCTATTGTGAAGAGTTTACAGTCTAAATTCAGAGCTACATAGATTAAAGTCTTGGGCGTGTTGGTTTTGTACTGCTTTCTTTCCCCATAGAGAGGCAAGAAAGAACTGTGTTACAACATTTGAATTGCTTTAGTGCTGTGTGAGGTTCCCATGTACAACCCTGATTCTGGAACTAGGCTTTAATAGTGTCTCCTCAAATGATGATAATGTATGTGGTAGCTCTTTCATAACATGTCTTTCTCCTTGATTTGCACATCTGCATCTACCATGCTGCCTCCATTTCTGGAAAAATCTGGATCTTTATCATGAACAACAGGGAGAAGGGCCAAGGTGTTAACCACACACAGCACACCACTACTCTCCAGGCTGTCCTGTTATTTTTGGAGGCAGGTTGCAGGAAGCTCTTCCATTTAATATGAATGAGCATCATCATGCCATGTCTGGGCTACAAACTTGGCCAAAAATTTACAGAAACTTCAGTGGACATTGAACATAGGCAGCATGGTAAAGCAGAAAGATGTCTTGTTTTGTGTGATCTTCAGGGATCGTTTTTAGTCTGTCTGACCTGTCCTTTGAAAGTATAGTGCACTAGCTTCTCTTCTGAAAAGTTCATTGTATTTCTGCTGTGTCAGTTTGTCAGCCATACCTAACCTGCTTTTCCTTTTTTTTTTTTTCCTTTTTTTCTAGATGTTCTGTAATTTTAATTCAAGTAATTTATTTTTAGTGGTGCAGTAAAAGGCCCTTGCTCAGGGAAGCACTGGTCTGGCTAGGAGAAAAGCCCCCTTTCTGAGGAATGACTCAACTGATTTCATGTAGAGGACATTCCTTGTAGTGCTGGTGCCAGACTGGGGCGTAACTTGCTCACCTTCCTCTGAGGATATCCTTTTACTTCTATTGTAATATTTGTATTCTGCAAAAGTCACAGTCTCTCTTCAGATGAAAGGGAGATTGGAAAATCTGGCAGAAGTGGATCTAATTTATGAATCAGAGAGAACTGAAAAAGGATGATATGTTTTAAAGGCTTTCTGAGTCAATGTAATGCTGCTACTATATATTAGAAGTGGTATTTTATATTTTTATAATATTTGGTCTCTGCTGATGTTCTCCCATGGGTATACTGGTAAGATTAGCTCCTCTGATGTTGTCCAGAGGGATCTCTTCTAGGAACCCTTGGGTCTGCAGAGAAGGAGACTCCTGCAGGTGCTGAGCGCTGGAAGGAGTTAGCATCATTGCTGCCATCCATTTGACCGCACAGATTATGTTTAGAGAGAGAATCCTGGTGAAGCATGCACAGCCCCCAATGTAAACCCCCAAAGGCTGGGCACTGGTCAGGAGAAAGGACCTTTTACTATAAACTGCATGATATCTCCCCCAGTTTCCTCTGTGGACTGTTATAGATTGGTCCAGATCGGGGGATGTATCTCCTGCCCTGTGTAGACCCCTCAGTGGAGTGGCTTTTCTGTACTGTCTCGCAAAGGATACTTTCATCCTGCACCCATCATGTTAACTGGCTGTTGAAGTAAGTGCCTGTGTCAAAGCAAACTGCTGTGCTCAACCCCAGTATCTCCATGTCTTGTACATGCTGAAAAAATTCTCTTTTTAAAAGTATTTTTGTTAAGAATGCAATAAATATATAACACTTTTAACACAGCTGCTGTTGAGTCATTTGTTTCTCTCATACAATTTTTGCCTGAGCTGGTAACAAGCCTGTCACAGATGTGGGTCTCCTGGAGACACTCAGCATCGGAGCGCTGAGGCAGGGTCTGTGGGTATGGTGTCCTGGAGCACCAGCCTGGGCTGGTGGCAACTCTCTTGCACAGGATCTCCTGCCTTGGCTCTGTGCCTTATGTTGATTTTGAAAAGGCCAGTGGCCTGCTCCCTGCAGTGCTCTACCCTGCCTGGCAGGGTGACATCAGAGCACTCCCAAGTCCAGATGGAAGGTAAGCAACGCAGTGGGTAGGAGGGAGGCATGAGGCAAGGCCAGGGGGATAGCAGAGGGGAGAACTGTAAAAACCTGAGCCTTCATCCATCTGAAAACGTCCTCTTCCTCTTTGCTATCTATTGTGGAGGGTCTGTTCACCTCCTGGGAGGAATGATCCTAGCTGCCAAAAAATAACCTTGACGTTTTTCTGGGCATGCTCATTTGGCCATTTCAAAATGTGGCAATTTGGTGTCCTAAGTGAGCTGTGGCTTAGAAAAAAGTTATGTTTATTTGCTGCTAGCTAGAAAGTCTATGAGAAAGGTGGTCCTGCAGAGCAAGGAGCTGTGCCTCCGACAGCAGTGGGGTTGATTGAAGTCCCAGTAGCTGCAGCTGGGTCATAACTGGTCTCCATGGGTACGAGGACTGATCCTGAGTAGCCTGGGCAGGATTTGTGGTATTCATGAGCCTGACCTGTCCCAGAGACTGGGCAGGACATGAAATTACCTGTTTGTGGCTGATGGCAATGCATCTTTGTAGGACTGGGTGCAGCTGAGGGTGGCTGGATCTGTCCTGGGAGCAGTATGACTTCACTTCTCCTCTGGGGATCATGGCCCCTTGGGAAACCTGCTGTGCAAGCAGGGCTGTGCCCATCTGTGTGCATTGCTTGGGTCAGCCTAACCGTGCCTGTCCTGGGCATCCAAACCAAGGTAGCCTCCTTGCCTCAGTCCAGACTGAGTATTTGGCACTGGGAGGGGAACTGGGCACTTTCCAGCCTTCACAGGAAGGGTTGGGTTGTTCAGGGTGTGAGCACTTTGGCCATGGGACGTGTGTCAGAGAAGGCAGATCCTGCAGTCTCCTCTGCAGGCAGTTTGTGTCCCTGGTTCACCAAGCAGGCTGCCCTTTTGTGGAATGACTTTCTCCATCCTTGGAAAGCACCTGTGGTGTGCAGCGGCACTAGGTGTCTTAGACCAATATGAGGTTTATGCAGTCCTTTGTAACCTGCGTCTTTTGAGCTTCTGGGGACACTGGAGCCTGGGCCTGGGCAGCACTGGTTCATTTGTGTGGATGATCTCGTGGCATTTACCTTACCTCAGGGAAGTATCACAGGTGGAAAGCTTCCTCTCCAGGAGAGTAAACCACCTACTAGCTGAGAGCAGCTGTGGGGAAACGTGTTTGTGACTGGATTATTCCACAACTCTGTTGTGGGCCCTCTGTTAAGGGCTCTTGCTGAAATTGGCAGGGTTGGTAGCTGCAGGAGGCTGGATGGGACTGAGTGGCCAGGCAGCGTGCTGCAGGGTTGCAGCAGTGCTGCAGCTCAGACCCTGCAGCCTGCGCTCTCCTTCCAGCTCCCCACTGCTCCAGGAAGTGACCAGAGCTACTGGACACAGGCAGCAGAGCTGAAGGACACTTGAAGGCCTGCAGAGGCAGAAGGAGAACGATGAATAGGAAAAGGATGCTCATGCTTAACAAAATACTTAATAATAAAAGTGAGCCCTGGTGGCAGTAGTTAACCAGACTCTCCCCTGCCTGTTTAAAGTTGTATTTTAAGGAATTTTCTAAATCTCACTGTCAAATGTAATTTTCTGTGACTGCACTGGACCATCCTGGCACTGCTCCATGAATTCCTCAGTGCCAGTGGCTGTGGGGGTGTGAGCCCTGTATGTTGTGTTAAGGATCTCTGAGTGACTTGGGGTTGGTAAATATTTGCAGATAGCCAGGGTCCTTTGCAAGGGCACCTTGATCTTGTCACTGTTCTGTTGTGGACAGTGAGATGCTAGGAAGCATCCTGACAATTTGCTTGGACTGGGGAGAGCATCCTCTAGGATCTCCTGTTCTGCAGAGCATCAGACTGATCACAGCACACTGGTATATTTCAAGGGCTATGTATCTCATGGCTGTCTGAATGCCTGATCCACCGTTTGATGAGGATCACTAACACCCAGAAGCAACAGCCTGGCAGCAGTGTGCCATTGCAGGGTCTCCTTCCACTGTGCTGATCCAGGTCTCTCTTCCTTTTCAAATACAAAAACTGGTAGCTTAAAAGTTCTTTTGTTTTGTGACCAAAAGTAAAAGAAGGGTTAATAAGAGCCAATTTTGGCAGTGCCAGAGTCTGCTGTTTAAAAAAAATTACTGAAGATAGAGGAGAATCCTGGGTAGCACACATTAGGAAAAATACAACTGCTTCCAGGCACATGCACAGTTGCTTAACATTGAAACCAGAATTGCTGGAGTCTCGGGCAGTCTGAGACACTGCAGACTTGTTTTATGTGTTTTGTGGGAAGTTTCACCATGTCTGTGACCTTATGTATGTGGGTTAGTGTGATCTTGTGTCTTAATTTGTGCATTCACATGGCTGGAGAAGGGAAGAATATGCACAGAAACTTTGGCAGATTTCTTAAACCAAAGAAATATATATATACGGGAACTTGAGCAAGGACTAGTAGCAGCAGATGTCAGAGGAGCCATATGCCACTTGCCTTCATTAATGTTGCTGCATCAGGAAGTGCTGAATAACAGAGGCGAATGGCATAAGAAAAGAATAAGCTTTATCTGTGAACTGTTCAGGTCCGCTTTGGGGTCTGTACATGCCTCTATGGGTCTTCCTCATGGTCCTGGGTAGGTGGTGCAAGCTTATGCTGGTGGCAGCTGGAGCCAGTATTACCAAGCCTTTTTCACGTCCTCTAGTAGGAACATGAATAGTGTGAGAGAAAATAATATGACCCTAGTGATAGATCTCTGTCTTAGCATGTTGCTTAGAGTGGGAATAAATACAGTTCGCTGAGCTGAAAATTAGCTGTTTTAAATCAGGAAAATAAATCCCATGCCCAGAAAGTGATCTTTCTGTCAGCATTGCCAGGAGATCCCCACACCATGGTGCTGGGGTTTCCACTTGCAGAGCTCTTTGTACTTTTATGTTATACCGTGCTGAACTCTTAACACTTCCAGTACTGGCACATCCTTGGACTAGCAGCTCATGCCCCCGTGCACATTAGGTATCCATGTTTCTGTCCTTAGAATCTCAATTCTGCTTATCTGAGAGGAGAGAAGCAGGGAAATCTGTTAACTACTAAAAAGGAAGGCAGTGTTTTGGGGAAATAGGCAGATGAACCCTGCTGTAGCAACCCGAAAGCCCACACCCTGCCATATTCCAAATGTTCCTGAGAACAGGGAAGGAAGCCCTGGAATGTAAAGTGATGGTGGGGAGTCACAAAGTCCTTGTTTCCATCACTAGACAAAAATATTTCTGCCCAGGAGAGTCTATGTCACCCTTACTGGCAGATACCCCTTCAGGCTGGATGTCCACTGTTGTCATCCCTTCCCCATCAAGAAACTGACCCCCTGGTTTAGTGCTCCCTCGGTGTCCATGCTCATTGTTCTGTATCTCTGGAAACTTGCACACCATTGCTTATAACTCCATGCTTTCCAGTCTGGCTGTGTTGATGGCTCTCTCTGAAGGTCATTCTGGCTTCTTCATAGTTGTCGTTCTGATACAAGGTGGGGCACAGGAGAGAAGTTTGTGCTTCACACCTGCCTTGTCACCTTGCCCTCAGGTACGTCATCATCTCCCGGGAGGAGAGGGAGCAGAACCTGATGGCCTTTCAGCACAGCGAGAGGATTTACTTCCGTGCCTGCCGTGACATCCATCCTGGAGAGAAGCTGCGGGTGTGGTACAGTGAGGATTACATGAAGCGGTTGCACAGTATGTCCCAGGAGACTATCAACAGAAATTTCACAAGTGGTGAGTCCCTTCCATTTCCATCCTCTCTCTTGATCCCCTTGGGCTGCCCCACTTGTTGGGCCAAGTGTGGTGGGTGAAGTAGGTGATGCACAGGCTGTGTGAGGAAAGTTGCATTTCTAGAAGCAGAGCATCTCTGGATGAGAGCCCCCCAGCTCTGTCTGGCACGGATGGATGGGTGTACAAGAGGAATAAGATAAGCACTGTCATGGAGATCATGAAAGAAAGATTTGTGCTGTGGTGTGTCATGTCATGTGTTGTGTTGTGTCATGTCACGTGTGTGCTACAAAGGCCTGATGCAACACCCAGAGGTCACAGAGCACCCCTGTCACAAGACTTTCTGGCCTGAAGATTGCCAAGCTGGTGATCCTACAGACAACATTAGGTTTTTCCTCTAAACATGCTGCTCCCTCTGGCTCCTGTGAGCAGCCTGTTTGAGGGAGCTCCAGTTGGTTTCATGTGCCTATGACAGATATTTCCTTGGTGTGTTTGTATGTCCATTTTCCTCGTTTAATTTATCTCCTCTTTCTTCAGAAAGATAATTTGGGATCAGCGCGACATCAGCTAGAGACTCCTTAGTCTCACAACCTTAGAGTGTATGTACAACATACAGGAGGCTTTGTAATTATCAGACTAATTCTTCCTTGGATAGAAATTGCTATCTTATCTAAAGAGTAGCAGTGTTGGAACAAACCCAGCAGTCCTTTGGGCCCATATATTGTCAGCAATACAGGAAGCTTTAGAGGAAAGCAGAAATTCTTAATGCATCTGTTCATCTATACAATGCTGATACCTGAAGTTAATTAGGAGCATTTCTTTCTAGGCTAGATGCAGAATGGCAGGACCTCAGAGGGGCAGCCACACTAAATATAACTTTGTAATTAAGATTCCCGTGTATGCTATTACACAGCTGCTGTTGCTGCCTTGACTTGGTAAAAGGTGTCTCCTCTTCAGTCGTAGGGTGGACAAGATGTCCTGAAAAAGCTGGTTATCTCTATCACTTTAGGGTTATTATGCACTTGCAGTGTTACATCTTGGTGACTGTATTTGGGCAGTTCCCACTTCTGAATGAACATTTTTATGAATTTGTTTTTTTTATATTATTGAACGTTGCTGAGTGATTAGGTACAGCTTCAGTGATTTTACTGCAATAATATGCACACATTAGTCATCGAAATGGCTTAGTACTTTCTGAAAGTACAGCAAAACAGTCTGTGCCCTTGGAGCAGCTGCTGTAGAGGGGCACCAAGGCTATGAGCTATTGCCCTGCCATACAGACATGCCTTTAGTCGTGGTTTGTCATGGTGTGGTGGTTTGTGTGAGCTGAAATGGTAACTCACAGCCTGCTCTGTGCTACACGTGCAGTGAAGATCTGCCTCTGGACTTGTCAGAACCTGCCATAGCCTAACACATGCTCAGGTGGCTGCGAAGACCATTCCAGAATTGTCTTGCTGAGCTCGTCCTGCTGCAAGCTGAGCTCAGCCTGTGTTCACAAAAGGGGCGCAGAGATGTTAAAATGGGGCATCACTTGGGCCGTTTCTAGACTTGTGAGACATCAGAGCCCTCATCTGGGAGAGCACTGGGAGGTGGTCAGGAAGCAGCACAAAAATTTGTTGAGTCACCTTCTGTTTAAAATATTTCAAATCCCCTGCAGATGAGCCTGTCAAATGAAGTGAAGTGGCACACTTCATTAACTCACAGAAAAATGACATGGTCCTGGGTTTTGTTTCTGTTGATAGTTTCTGACCCGCCTCATCGTTAGAGCTGAGACCAATAATATGAGGGATTGTCTTGTGATTTTTAGCTTTTCTGTAGGGCTGAAGCACTCGACTGGTTGGGGAAAAATCACCAAGAAAGAAGAATTCATTCTCTAAATCCCTACCTCTGACAATAGTTGTTATAGTCTGTAACAGGGAAAATACTAAGACAGAGGCTCAAAGCTTTATCCATAGAAATTCTCGTCAATGTGTTGAAAATGAGATCTGTTGTTATGGATTCACTAAAGAAGGGGCTGGGATTCCCAGCCAGCATCCAAACCCAGTCCAAAATCCCATCCATTCAGGCTAGCCCTTTTTACAGTGCCTTACTCTAACTGTTTCAAGTCTTGCATCTTTTCTGCATTCTTAGCATTGCTCTCCTTAGAGAGGGAATGGTAGCTTTTGCTCCATAACTCTTATGAAAGCATGAATACACTTTAAAAGCAAACAAAACCAAAAATCACCATAAAGCAGCGTCTTGTTTGGGAAGCCTTCAATGCTTGAAGTTATTTACAAGATAGAAGAATGATGGAAATTGAGCCAATCCTATCGTCTTTTGAATTTTCAGGTAAGGAAATCTGGCTATTCCCTTTATTTTAAGCAGTTAATAATTTGTATGAGGTTGCCTTTTTTTTTTTTTTTCCCCTATTACTGAATGGCCATGCTCTCAGAATCCACCGGGACAAACTACATGTCCCATCCTTGGCGGGCATTCACCCGTTGTAGATCTGTTGACAATGAGTACCTTAGGTTTTAAGAGCGCAAGTTATTTTTAGTCCTTTACCTTTGCATTTCTGGAGCAGCCTCCAAACTGAATGAGAGTAAAGGGGCTGGCAAACTTTGTGCCATGGTATGCACAGACGCTGGGGTTGTCATGAAATGGTGTAAATGTCTCACTGCACTGCTGTACACTTGATACCTTTTACCAAGTCAAAACAGGCACAGGACTTCCAGCCAGCCAAAATGGCACTTAGGCTCTGGGTATTAGGTTCCACTATGATCAGTTATTCACCTCATAGTCCTCTTCCAGCGCAGGTTGGGTATATACCTTTAGGTTATACAAGCTGCCTGTAGTTTCTCTTCTCTTTAAAGTGTGTGGGTTCTACTCTGCTGTGGCTACCCAGGACTGTCTCTGTTTTTTCAGACATGCCCATTAGCAGGGATTCTCCTCTTGCAAGCCTCAGTTTCCACTGAGTTGTGTCGGTTCCCTGGCTTGTAACACAACATGCAGACCTGCAGAGATCCAGTCTGCCTTTTTGTTCTTTTTTGTTTGAGTTTTAGATTGAGGGATGTTGCTCGGTTCCCAGTGATAATCCCCGCACCCCATTTTCCTTTCTAGGAGAAAAAAAGTTACAGAGTGAAAAGTCAGAAAAGAATGTAGAAAATCAAGAGGATGTAAGGGGGCCACTGCACTTCACCGCCTTAAAGCAAGGGAAGAGCCCCTACAAGCGCAGCTGTGACGAGGGGGAATCCCACCCCCAAACAAAGAAAAAAAAGATTGACCTCATCTTCAAAGACGTTCTGGAGGCTTCTTTGGAGTCTACCAAGTTTGATGAGAACCAGTTAGCAACAAGTACACCACTTTCCATCAGAAAAGCATCTAAATACCAGGCTGAAGACATCTTTGAGCAGTGTGGCAGTGCCATGCAGCACGGCTCCCTGAGCCTCAGCAGAAACCAGAGCGAGGGGGAATGGAAGGTCCCCCACAGTTCCTCTTTCATCTCAGCCAAGGAGATGGGCATCCTTGAAGATGAGGAAGATGAGCCCCTGTCACTCAAAGCAGACAGCCCAACCGAGTTGTCACTGGCCTCTGCACAGGGCAATTCCCATGAAATCCCCACCACATCCTTCTGCCCCAACTGCATCCGGCTGAAGAGGAAAATCCGGGAGCTGCAGGCTGAGTTAGACATGCTGAGATCTGGGAAGTTACCTGAGCCACCCGTGTTACCGCCCCAGGTACCCGAGCTCCAAGAGTTCTCAGACCCCACAGGTAAGCCCTGCCGAGTTAGAGCCTTCTCCAAACCCTGCCTAAGGAGAGTAGTCAGATGCCTGTGTGCTGTGTACCCATCTAAAGCATTTTGTTCTGAGTATTCAGGTGAACCTGTGGTTCCATGGAAGGTTCATTGTCAGGTTTTGTGACTGGGTGGGCCAGGAGCTGACGCTGTGGGTACAGTGGAAAACACTGTCTGGGAAAGACTCTGTATGACAGCTTGCTCTATTTGTTGCCATTGTAATCGATAATACACTGCCAATAAAAAAGACATTCCATTGCAGACAGTTTGTTTTCTGTATTTTTGATGCATTCTCTTTCAGTGGAAGTCCCTCCATAATACCTCACATACTACCAAGAAAATCTGAATGACTCTGTGGTAACACTGAAATGTGCTCTCTTTGTGTATGAAATGATGTCCTACTGTGTCCCCTGTTGGAAATCCCTCTCTGTTTCCTCCACTGCCTTGACACAAGCATGTGTCCCTTTCTGAAGAAACATTTCCTTTCTTCCAGGAACATGCTGTCAAGCAGCCAGGAGCCTTCAGTAAAGGGAACATTTGGGTCAAACAATGTATTGTTCAAGTGACCAGGATGTAGTGTCCTTTCTTGCTGTTCATTGTGGCATGTTGGAGACAAAGTTCATATGCAGAAATATTGATTTCTTTTCCTTTCTAAGCCGTGATTCAAATTCTATCCATAATGTGTTGTGGGCAGGAGAGGGGAGGTTGTGTCCAGCTCATTGGGCAATGCTCTACTGTCACCAGTAGAATGCTTCTCTAGCTCAGCAACTTTGTAAATACCGTATTTTTTTCCCTTTTCTTTTTTTTTTTTTATTTTTTTTTTGTTACAGCTTCAGAAAGCATCATCTCAGTTCCCACCATCATGGAGGATGATGACCAAGAGGTGGATTCTGCTGATGAATCAGTTTCCAATGACATGATTGCTGCTACAGACGAGCCTTCCAAGATGTCCTCTGCGACGGGACGGAGGATACGGCGGTTCAAGCAAGAGTGGCTTAAAAAGTTTTGGTTTCTGCGGTACTCCCCAACATTGAATGAAATGTGGTGCCATGTCTGCAGGCAGTACACAGTGCAGTCCTCTCGGACTTCAGCCTTCATCATTGGCTCAAAGCAGTTCAAGATACACACAATAAAGCTTCACAGCCAGAGCAACCTCCACAAGAAGTGTCTGCAGCTTTACAAGCTCAGGATGCACCCAGAGAAGACAGAAGAGATGTGCCGAAATATGACCCTGCTCTTCAACACAGCCTACCACTTGGCCCTAGAGGGCAGGCCCTACTATGACTTTCGGCCTCTGGCGGAACTACTGAGAAAGTGCGAACTCAAGGTGGTGGATCAGTACATGAATGAAGGAGACTGCCAAATCTTAATTCACCATATCGCCCGGGCTCTTCGAGAGGACCTGGTTGAACGCATCCGTCAGTCTCCCTTCCTCAGCATCATTCTGGATGGGCAGAGCGATGACCTGCTTGCAGACACAGTTGCAGTCTACGTGCAGTACACAAGCAGCGATGGGCCTCCGGCAACTGAATTCCTGTCCCTTCAGGAGCTGGGCTTTTCTACAACAGACAGTTACCTCCAAGCATTAGACCGGGCTTTTTCCAGCCTGGGAATACGATTGCAGGATGAGAAGCCAACTGTTGGCTTGGGAGTTGATGGTGCTAACGTTACTGCCAGCCTGAGAGCCAACTTGTTCATGACAATCAGAAAGACCTTGCCCTGGCTTCTCTGCCTGCCCTTTATGGTGCATAGACCGCACTTGGAAATTTTGGATGCCATCAGTGGGAAGGAACTACCGTGTTTGGAGGAGCTAGAAAAT